ATGATAACGTCACAAATAATTGGGGGCCAGGCAGGAGTTCTTATACAGAAAATAAAATTAAATAGAAAAAAAATATACTAAAAATCTTACTAGAAATGATACAATAGTTTGTAATAAATTGAGGCTTCATATTATAAAAAGCATGAGCATATGAGCTTCTAATCTTTATCCCATCAACTTGCAAATCCAGCCGTCTAGTTACATTAACAACCTGCTGTGTCCCCCTTGGTTGCTTGAAACTATAGGGTTGTATCCAATGAGGAAAGCCAGTCAAGATTTGTGCGCCTTTTCCACATCAGTTCAAAATTACAAATTGTGAAGATGTTTGTGATGGTCTGGGATATTATATATATTTATACCCATACAGTGAAGAAGTAAAATATGCTTTGGAAAATACAATATTACCTGTGATCACCACATTGGACTGGATGTGAACTTAATATTTATATAGTGACAGGTGTATCTGAATTAATTTCCATGAGATGGGAGATCATTATTATAAAAATCTGATCAAACAATGGAATTGGGTGATATAGGAAAATTGTTAAAAGAGTTGTTGGCAGTAATTAAAGTATGCTTCAGAAAATATGGTAAGTGCATGTGTGGGCTTGTGATATAATATATAGGCATACCCTCTTCTCATTTGGATAACTATTAAATTATAAAACGTATAATCTAGTTTGTATATTTTAATTATAAGTACTTAATATAAATTAAAATATTTGCATATAAATTTATAAGCTACTGATAGAGGGATCCGTAGATTAGTCCACTGTATGTATCAATTAACCAAGCTCTAAATATGCCACTGACGTTTATGCAAGAAAATGGACTTAATGAAAGGACTAGCTCATTTACAATTCATACCTTAGATCTAAATCTCAATACTAAGTCAAATTCCCATATGTGATGTCATTTTTTCAATAATATACCCTGGAAGCAAAAATAATATGCATTTTTGTATTCATATATCATGTATATGGGTGGTGTTATGTTTTTAAAAGTAGACAAGAATAGTGCTTATAGCATTCTTTTTACCATGCAGTTTTTAAGCAGTTAATAAATTTTCAAATTTATATGTAGGTCACTCAGAGTCATTTCCATATAAGTAGAGCAAACAAAAGAAACACCTTAGCAGTTATTAAGCAGTTTTTAAGCAGTTCTCCTTAACCTTCCTATTGACTGCTAAGATACTGCTAAGGAAACTGCTAAGCAACTGCTAAGTTACTGCTAATGAACTGGCTAAGTACTGCTTAAACTGTGGACTGCTAAGGAAAACTGCCTAAGGAGAGAAGAAGGCTAGTAAACTGTCTAAGAACTGCTAAAGCACTGAACTGTTAAGGTTAAAAAACTGCTAAAGAACTGCCTTCCACTTTGACTTGGGTTATCTTTAATATAAGAAAATAGAGTAAAAGAAAATTGGACTTGTTAACCTTTGATTGGCATTACAATTTGTACAGTGCAATATAAGTGTAGGTAAATTCCTACTAAGATAAGAAGCATTTATATGCGTGCAAATAAAAATTAAATGACTCAATGGTCACAGAGGAGTTTATTTCTTCAGTTTATTTTACAATTACCCAAACTAGTCGCTCGATAAAAAATTATCAATACGCAGTTTTGTCGAAAAAGTCCTCCGACATATACACATAAGTGCTGGAGACTGTTAATTGAGATTTGTGTGAAAGAGAACAGTCACATATTTTAAAATGACATCAATTCAAATAAAAAGTATTTCATCTTGTTTGTTTAAAAAAGATATTCAAAGCACTAATTTAAAAGAAAATTTAAGGTATTATTTTTGCGCATACCCAAACTAGTCATTCGATAAAAAATTATCAATACTAAGCTTTATCGAAGCAGTCCTTCCACATGCACGTATGTGCTGGAGTGTTAATTGAGATTTGTATGAAAGAGAAGAGTCAAATATTAATTAAATGTGAATAAATATTTCATGCAATTTGATTTGTTTAAAAACATATTCAGGGCAGTAATTGAATTACGCATACCCAAACTAGTCGTTCGATAAAAAAAATTATCAACACATAGCTTTCTCGAAGAAGCCCTCCTTAATGAATATTTCATCTAGTTTGATTTTATTAAAAAGATATTCAAGGCACTAATTAAAAAGAAAATTGAAGGAATTTTTTTTTGCGCATACCCAAACTAGTCGTTCGATAAGAAAAATTATCAATACATAACTATGTCGAAAGAGTCCTTCGACAGTATTCCTTGATTTGCGTGAAAGAGAAGTATTCATATATAATAGTTAAATTTAAATTAAATATTTCATTCAGTCTGTTCTTAATTTCCTTTCAAAACACTAAGAAAGGAAGGTTGATAATCATATTTTTAATTGTATTTCAACGAATTGACTAAGTTTATTTTGATTGGATAACTTGCTAGGCATCACAATGTGTTGCACTGCATTGCAGCAGAGTGCAGTATGGTGCAGTTTTACTTGTTTTTCAACAAGCACAAACATTTTACTAGTCAATGCTTTAGATACATTCCCCACCATCCACCCTCCAAAGTTGCCTTTTAAATACAATTTTCTCTTGCAGCTAATTCTGAGTTGCAAACTTTGCATAATGTAAGTTTCTTACAAAGTTCGATAATCAAATTATGCCCCTTTGAACAACGTAGACAAAACGATTATGCAAATGTTCAGGCAAAACTAAAGAATGACAGGCTTGTATACTATATAAGACTAGAGAGTCACTCACTTATCAGCAATGTTAAGTTTAGTCTTACATGTATTGTGAGTTGATCTCACTTAACAAGTACTGCTATCTGGCGAGGCAGTACAGAAATTAAAGCGCCTTAGATTGTGCTACAGAGAAATTTACTGGGCGCTTTGTTTGATTGAGTGTCAACCTGTTCACTCATCTGTCAAACAGGAAAAGTCGTATTTCTTTTAATGTTAAATTTGATAAAAATAGACCATGTATGTTTTAAGTAGACACTACGTTAAGCAATCACAATGAGATGTATTGCAGTGCAATGATATCTTTATTTTAGAGCATCAATTTGGTTTCCTAAACTTTTTAAAAAAAGAAAAATAAATTTTGAAAAGAGTTTGTTTCAACTTTTTCTTTAATATAAGAAAATAGAGTAAAAGAAAATTGGACTTGTTAACCTTTGATTGGCATTACAATTTGTACATTGCAATATAAGTGTAGGTAAATTCCCACTAAGATAAGAAGCATTTATATGCGTGCAAATAAAAATTAAATGACTCAATAGTCACAGAGGAGTTTATTTCTTCAGTTTATTTTACAATTACCCAAACTAGTCGCTCGATAAAAAATTATCAATACGCAGTTTTGTCGAAAAAGTCCTCCGACATATACACATAACTGCTGGAGACTGTTAATTGAGATTTGTGTGAAAGAGAACAGTCACATATTTTAAAATGACATCAATTCAAATAAAAAGTATTTCATCTAGTTTGTTTAAAAAAGATATTCAAAGCACTAATTTAAAAGAAAATTTAAGGAATTATTTTTGTGCATACATACCCAAACTAGTCGTTCGATAAAAAATTATCAATACTAAGCTTTATCAAAGCAGTCCTTCCACATGCACGTATGTGCTGGAGTGTTAATTGAGATCTGTATGAAAGAGAAGAGTCAAATATTAATTAAATGTGAATAAATATTTCATGCAATTTGATTTGTTTAAAAACATATTCAGGGCAGTAATTGAATTACGCATACCCAAACTAGTCGTTCGATAAAAAAAATTATCAACACATAGCTTTCTCGAAGGAGCCCTCCTTAATGAATATTTCATCTAGTTTGATTTTATTAAAAAGATATTCAAGGCACTAATTAAAAAGAAAATTGAAGGAATTTTTTTTTGCGCATACCCAAACTAGTCGTTCGATAAGAAAAATTATCAATACATAACTTTGTCGAAAGAGTCCTTCGACAGTATTCCTTGATTTGCGTGAAAGAGAAGTATTCATATATAATAGTTAAATTTAAATTTAATATTTCATTCAGTCTGTTCTTAATTTCCTTTCAAAACACTAAGAAAGGAAGGTTGATAATCATATTTTTAATTGTATTTCAACGAATTGACTAAGTTTATTTTGATTGGATAACTTGCTAGGCATCACAATGTGTTGCACTGCATTGCAGCAGAGTGCAGTATGGTGCAGTTTTACTTGTTTTTCAACAAGCACAAACATTTTACTAGTCAATGCTTTAGATACATTCCCCACCATCCACCCTCCAAAGTTGCCCTTTAAATACAATTTTCTCTTGCAGCTAATTCTGAGTTGCAAACTTTGCATAATGTAAGTTTCTTACAAAGTTCGATAATCAAATTATGCCCCTTTGAACAACGTAGACAAAACGATTATGCAAATGTTCAGGCAAAACTAAAGAATGACAGGCTTGTATACTATATAAGACTAGAGAGTCACTCACTTATTAGCAATGTTAAGTTTAGTCTTACATGTATTGTGAGTTGATCTCACTTAACAAGTACTGCTATCTGGCGAGGCAGTACAGAAATTAAAGCGCCTTAGATTGTGCTACAGAGCAATTAACTGGGCGCTTTGTTTGATTGAGTGTCAACCTGTTCACTCATCTGTCAAACAGGAAAAGTCTTATTTCTTTTAATAGTAAATTTGATAAAAATAGACCATGTATGTTTTAAGTAGACACTACGTTAAGCAATCACAATGAGATGTATTGCAGTGCAATGATATCTTTATTTTAGAGCATCAATTTGGTTTCCTAAACTTTTTAAAAAAAGAAAAATAAATTTTGAAAAGAGTTTGTTTCAACCTTATCTTTAATATAAGAAAATAGAGTAAAAGAAAATTGGACTTGTTAAGCTTTGATTGCGCGCGTTGAACTATTTTTTTTTCATTTGGTACCAACACATTGAACATTTTAGTTTCTATTTAAAGAAAGATAAAAATGTATTAAAATTTTAGAGGAAAAACGTAGGAGATTATGAATATTAGATTGTTTTTATTTCGTTAGGTAAACAACACTGTTTGGCAATGAGAAAGGATCTGAATTACCAGTGGTGTGACGACTACTGCCCGGAACTTCATGGCTACATATGTGAAAGAGCGTGAGTTGTGTTCTTAAAAATTGAAAAAAAACAGGCCCTAACCATTTTAAACAGTAAGATGGGTGAAACATGTTAAGGTGATTTTTTAAAAAAATCATGAAACATATTTCCGGGCAAAAAATCTGATGTATAATCTTTTGGAGGAATTTTGTCAGTACTTTTACACCCTATAATTAAATTGTTTATTTGTTCACACATATTTTTTATATCCACACCTTAGAGGTGATTTAGTATGGGAAGAAGATATAAAAATTTCAATGGGTTGAATATTTACCCTAATTAAATGCCTATGGGTATTCTTCGTTGTTTGTGTACTTTCCATTTTTTCCCGTGGCGTTTTATGATTTAATAGTTCATCATAGTTTGAAGTCTACCTTTTTCAAGTCTTTAAGAGGAGGTATTAAATCTTTTTCAGGATGAATGACGGCTCGGACCTAATAGGCTAACCATCTCATGAAATATGAAATCCACCTTTCACTGGAAAATCAATCACTGTATTTCTTATTATTGCAATAAATTCAAGAATGACAACTCTTGATTTTTTTATGTATCCATATCGATCGAATATCCGTATCGATCGCTTAAAGGTTTAGCGATCCATTGTTTTTTTTTTTATCTTTGTAGTTGCATTTAACACCGGTTTTAATTATCAAATGCATTATTCCCATAAATGATTTTTTCCCCACAGATTCCTTTTTTCTTGTCATGTAAAGTTGTAAACAGTCAGGTTGTTTTCAATTGTTGAGACTTAAGTTAACGATACATGCGCTGTAATACGTTGCACCAAGAAGAAGCACTGCAAATGTCCCCTCACCCGAATGCAATTAAACACTGTTGGCTCCATAAATGCACAGTTTCATGTGTTGGTAGATCATTTTCCTTATGTAGATTTATTTTTCCAATGACAGAAGACAAAATATACTTTTATGGTACCCAATAAAGAAAGTGAAGTACTTAAGTATATCTCAATATGGCTTTTCATTAACATGGATAGATAATGAAGCGGTTCCTTAACATTTGCAGATTTATTTCTTATCTACATCATTGCAACGGCATTTATTAACTATGTTGCTAACATTGAATGAATTTAAAAAGATTGTGTACAAAATTTTTCTCCTCTTCTATTAGGAAGATTATTATTAATAAAAACTCGAGCTTGCGAGTGCATTTGTACAGCCAATTGCAACTTGTGCGAATATTCACCAATATAAGTTCAATAACCCTTTACCACAATGTGAGATAACTCTCAATAAATATGGCTATTATTCACTTTTCTTCCATAACAGTGATGTTTTATCGTGAATGTTCCAGGCTGATAAATTATTTTCTTCAAGAATTTTGTTTTTATTAAAATCAATATTTTTAACTAAGGAATTAATAGCCCTAAATTATACATTGGAAGTCAAACATGAAAATTTTCAATTAGTAACGATAACCGATTCTTACTCATATATACGAGTTAAAAATCATTAGTGAATCCCAAAGTGGAAGACATTCGTGAGAGAATATATTGCTTTTCTCCAAAAAATAGTGAGTTTTTATCTGAATGTTCCAGTCTTGTAATTATTTTCTTCAAGAATATTGGTTTATGAAAATCAATTGTATTTTTACTAAGGGATAAGAGTTTAATAAATAGCGTTAAATTATACATTGCAAGTCAGACCTCATGAAAATCTTTAATTAGTAAGGTAACCGATTGTGTGTTATTTATATAATACGAAATTAAAACCACTGGGGATTCTCAAAGTGGAAGAGACATTCGTGCCAAAGAGAACAGATCACGTTGAATTTTTTTTAAACCCTGTATCTCATTTTCATTCAAAATTGAAATACATGTACCTTAACTGTTACCAATGCAAATCAAATCACATCTTTACACTTTCACAATATATTTTTCCTAATTTTAAAATAGGCAATCAAAATCGTAAACGTTGATGAACACTCTGTCTTCAAAATTTCTAATCAATTATTAAGGTAATACAAAATATCGTATTGGAATCTGTTTTAACTTATTTGTAATAAAATTTTGATTGACTGTATATTGTTTAACGTCCTTCTCGAGAATTTTTTACCCATAAAAAAATATCACTGCTACGTCTAAAATTAATGATCTTTGTAAGGAAATTAATAAATTGTGATTCATTTTATTGCCAAAATTTGATTCAAAAAAAAAATTCATATACATTGATGATTTGAGAGACTGCATTGTTTGAATGTGTTCATGCTGTAATACATTTTTCTTACAGAAAACTTAAAGTGTAGAATACTAACATGTGAATTTTCAATTCCTGGTCTAAGTATGTTCTATTTTTTCCTCACATTTTTACAGGTTTCAATAATTAACAGAAAATTAGTAGCAAACAGGGTGTGTTTTTGTAAAACATAATGCCCCCGTTGGTAACACAATTCTGGAGTGTGACGTAGACTGAAGCGGTATACACTTTTAAGATGTTTAGGCAATTCAAATGAGGTCAAAGGTCACATGATAAAAAATTTCTGTAGCAATGGAAAGGTTTTGTTATAATAAACAGTCATATCAAATATTAAATCCTTACCTTTGATAGCGCAAAAGTTACGGGCTAGGTTAAAGTTGACAACAGACAGACAGACAAACAGACAGAAAGACTGGACAAAAACAATATACTCCCGGGATCTTTCGATCCGGGGGCATAAAAAGGTAATATTTATAAAAAGTGTCGGCGTACACTAGTCGGTAATATTTTAAAAATGAACATTCCAAAGTGCAATGTCTGATTTCAAGATCTCTCAAGGGTCTGGAAGGCAAAAACGTGCGGTAAAAAAGGGGTGTTGCTAAAACGCGGAACGGAAAACGGAACGGAAAACGGAAAAATTATGTGAAACAAATCAGCTTTTAAATCAGATATAAAAGCAATATTTTTTTATGTAAAAGTCATATCTAATAAACATTTATTGTAAACTATAATACAATTATGAATTATACACACCCTCCGCTCAGAACTTGTGTAGAAGTGATCATGGTCTATATAATACGTACTGACTAGACTCAGAGTCCCAAGTACTAGTATTCATCTGAGCATTTCATACAAATTGTTTTTGTTTTTTTTAAAGAAAGCTCATTCATTCAAAAAAGATATTTCTTGAAGTAGGCAGAAGGAAAAAAAGACTACTAGTATGTACATTCATAAATATTTGTCAAAAGCGTCGGAACCGGGGAACCCCCTTTTTTGAGAAGGTAACCATAATATAGGCAATGAACATTGGAGCGTAACCGCCCCCCCCCCCCCCCCCCCCCCCCCCCCCACACACACACACACACATACTTTCAACAGGCACGTCGCAGATTAGATCAAGGAAGGTTCAGTGATAGTGTTTGGAAAATATTTGGTACTGAAAGAAAACGCGATCCCTCCCTAGGATTTTCGTGTTTGGGCAAAGGACGTATTTCCCTTTTTCCTTTTTTTGCTTGTCAAGTTTTCTTGTACGTTGGAATTTTTTTTTCTTCCACTTAGCCTCCCCCTTTCAATTTGCTTTAGACGCTTGTGTTTGCAAAGACAAAAATAGCTATTTTTGACGTTCAGATTATGCAAGCAGTGGCGAATCCTGGAATCTTGAAATGGGGAGGGACAGTTTGGGGTCTGGGTAGGGGCCCACAACATATTAAAAAATATATTTATAAAATCTTATGTACATTTTGGACACAAAAGGGAGGGGGCTTTTGCAATTTCTTAGTCCGATGAACGGAAAAACAAATCAAATGTATAACGGGGTCATTCATTTACCCCCCCCCCCCCCCCCCCCGAAAATAAAAACAAACACACACACACATGTACTGCATGCAAATAAACTTTAACTTCATTGAATGTAAACATTGCTACCCTTAACCTACCAAAGGAAAGTATTCCAACTTTATCTATCCAGAATTTAAATATATAGAAAGCGACTCTATTTTGTATAAAATTTCAACAACCAGTATTACATAAGAGGTGTTTATTCGAGCTTGGCGGAAGGGGTTGCCCTAAACGTAATCTTGATAATTATATTTTTTTAAATTTTATTTCTCTTTCAATAGTTCAACTTTATATTAAATACCCCCCCCCCAATTTTTTCCGGTCATAACCATTTTTACTAAAGAAATGTTCATTGACATCCGCACACTTTTTGTTATAATGTAATTGATGTAGTAAGTTTGTGTAAAAAATAGTACTGAAAGATGGATTTGGAACTTACCCTCCCCTACCGAGTCAAACAACTGTCTTCTTTTTGTTTTTGATTTTTTTTTTAAATTTGCTTGTGAAATGCTTATCAAGTAAGCCCCCCCTTTCAAATTCGAATCTACGTCACTGCCATGTCAGCGATTTTCGTAATTAAGAGACTGAGCATGACTAAATCAACTTGTATTTAATAGTGGGGAGTTGAATTTGTATAAGATGTATTGTTTGTGATAAATTTTTTGTATTTTACGTGATTTAATCCAAAATAATATATTCTGTTTTCCGTTCCGTTCCGCTTTCCGTTCCGCGTTTTAGCAACACCCGTAAAAAAGAGAGTGTTGCAGAAACTCGCGATTTTCTCTACATATCGAGAAGGACATTTAAACACCCGCGTTATGTCTAAATATAGATACAGCTACGTAGAAGACTAAGTTTACGCCAGGTATTTCCTGGTTTGATTTAGCTAAAACACTTCACATTTTACGTTTATATCATGCACAGTTTTTCTATAAGATAGGAACTGATTGGCAACCTTTTAGAGAAAATTTTTCTTTTGTATATCACGATCGCCATTTTGCAGGAGAAAGTTTGGAACAATAAAAAGCACAATGGCTAATACACTTTGCATAGCAATTTTAATGATATACTGTAGGCAACTAGACATCGTGCAAAAATATTTTTCATGAAATTAAAATGTGTCCCATAATCAAAATGTTGATGCTACATACAAGACATTTCATTTGTTTCAAATCAAATTTTGGCTACTAAATAACAGACCGAAATGATTCAAAATTGCAACAACAAAAAAACTACCATATGTAAAAAATAAATTATTTAAACAATACTTTATTACCAAATAAAGCATTGTGTCATTAGTTTTAAGTCACAGTATATCGAGGAAAATAATTTAAACCTGCATTTTTAATATATATATGTAGCTACTCGATTAACTTCTTGACTCTCGCTCTCTCTCTCAAAATATATATCTCATTGCACTACCATTACATATGAAAAAATATACGCAAAAATGACCCATCCTAGAAGTCTAACCCATTCTTTGGTAAAGTATATTGTTTTTGTCCCGTCTGTCTGTCTGTTCGTCTATTTGTCTGCAAACTTTAACCTTCACCATAACTTTTGAACCATGAAAGATAGAGACGTTGTATTTGGTATGCGTACTTCACTCATTAAGTTCTTTCAAATGACACCAAGGCCAATGACCTTGTGACCTTGACTGTCACCTTAATGCTAAAAATAGCTTTTCTGAACCTTCATCATAACTTTAGAACCGTGAGAGATAGAGACTTCGTATTTGGTATGCATATTCCACTAATCAAG